CTGACTTACTGCACTTCCTGCACTTAGTATGGTATTCTGTAGGTCCATCCATGTTGCTGCAGATTCTTTTTTATGACTGAGTAATATTCCATTATATCTGTATGTCTTGCATCTTTATCCATTCATCTGTTTATGGACGCTTAGGTTGCTTCCATCTCTTATCTATTGTGAACAGTGCTGCTATGAACATTGGGGTGCATGTATCTTTTTGAATTAAAGTTTTTGTCATTTTTTAGATATATGCCAGGAGTGGAATTGGTGGATCATATTGTAGCTGTATTTTTAGTTTTTTAAGGAACCTATATATTGTTATCCTTAGTGGTTGCCCTAATTTACATTCCAATCAACAGTATACAAGGGTTCCCTTTTCGCTGCACCCTTTCCAGCATTTATTATTTATAGACTTTTCGATGATAGCTATACTGACAGATGTGCAATGATACATCATTGTGGTTTTGATTTGCATTTCTCTGATAATTAGTGTTGATCATCTTTTCTGTATCTGTTGGCCATCTGTATATCTTCTTTGGCAAAATGTCTTTTTGGGTCTTCTGCCCATTTTTTAAGTTGGATTGTTTGTTTTCTTGATGTAGAGTTTGGAAATTAATTTGGAAATTAAGCCCTTGTTATTTGCATCATTTGCAAATATATTCTCCCATTCCGTAGGTTGTCTTTTCATTTTGTTGATGGTTTCCTTTGCTGTTCAGAAGCTTTTAAGTTTGATTAGGTCCCATTTGTTTATTTTTGCTTTTATTTCTTTTGCCTTCAGAGACCAAAAGATTGCAACAATTTATGTCAGACGATGTTTTACCTGTGTTCTCTTCTAAGAAATTTATGGTGTCATGTGTTATATTTAGGTGTTGAAGCCATTTTGAGTTTATTTTTGTATGTGGTGTGAGGGAGTGTTCTAATTTCATTAATTTACATGAGGTTGTCCAGCTTTCCCAACACTACTTGCTGAAGAGACTGTCTTTTCTCCATCAAATGTTCTTGCCTCCTTTGTCAAAGATTAATTGACTGTAGGTGTATAGGTTTATTTCTGGGCTCTCTATTCTGTTCCATTGATCTGTATATCTGTTTTTGTGCCATTGCTGTGCCATTTTGATTACTGTAGCTTTGTAGTATTGTTTGAAGCCAGGGAGAGTTATGCCTCTAGCTTTGTTCTTTGTCCTCAGGATTACTTTGGCAATTCTGTGTCTTTTGTGATTTCAATGTAAATTTTAGAATTATTTGTTCTATTTCTGTGAAAAATGTTCTGGGTAATTTGATAGAGATCACATTAAATCTGGAGAGTAATTTGCATAGTATGACCATTTTAGCAATATTGATTCTTCCAATCCAAGAGCATGAGATATCTTTCCCATTTATTTGAATCATCATCAGTTTCCTTTATCAGTGTTTCATAGTTCTCAGCATACTGATCTTTCACCTCCTTGGTTAGGTTTATTTCTAGGCAGTTATTTTTTCAATGTGATTTTAAATAGGACTTTTTTTTTTTAAACTTTCTCTTTCTGGTATTTCATTATTAGTACAAAGAAATACAACTGATTTCTCTATATTAATCTTGTATCCTGCTACCTTGTTGAATTCATTTGTTAGTCATAATAGTTTTTGTGCAGAGTCTATGGGGTTTTATGTATAGAGTATCACATCATCTGTATATAATAACAGTTTTACCTCTTCCCTTCCAATTTGGTTACCTTTTATTTCTTTTTCTTGTCTGATTGCTGTGGCTAGGACTTCTAGAACTAGGTTGAATAGAAATGATGAGAGTGGGCATCCATGAATTTAGTGGGAAGGCTTTCAGCTTTTTGCCATTGAATATTACATTGGCTGTGGGTTTGTCGTAAATAGCTTTTGTGATGTTTTTGCCCCTTTTTTGTTAATGTGGTATAGCACATTGATTGATTAGCATATGTTAAACCATCCTTGCAATCCTGGAATGAATCCAGCATGATCATGGTATGTGATCCTTTGTATGTACTGTTGAATTTGGTTTGCTAAAATTTTGTTCAGGATTTTTGCATCTATATTCATCAAAGATAGTGGCCTGTGATTTTCTTCCTTTTTTTTTTTTTTTGTGGTGTCCTTGTCTGGTTTTGCTATCAGAGTGTTGGTGGCTTCATAGAATGACTTTGGGAGTGTTTCCTCCTCTTCAGTTTTCTGAAATAGTTTGAGAAGAAAAGATATAAATTCTTTGTATGTTTGGTAGAATTCTTTAATGAAGCCATCTTGGACTGTGGTTTGCAGGGAATTTTTTTTAAATTCTATTTCACTTCTAGTGATTGGTATCTTCAAATTATTTTTTTCTTTTTGACTCAATTTTGGCAAACTGTATGTTTCTAGAAACTTGTCCATTTCTTCTAGGTTGTCCAATTTGTTGGCATATAACTGTTTATAATACTGTGATTTTTTTTTGTTTTATTTTCTGTGAAATTGGTTGTTATTTTTCCTCTTTCATTTCTTACTTTGTTTATTTAGGTCCTCTCTCTTTTTTCATTGGTGAACGTGGCTAGAGGTTTGTACATTTTGTTTATCCTTTCAAAAAATCAGCTCTTGCTTTTATTGATCTTTTCTATTGTTTTTTGATTTTTTATTTTCTTTCTGGTCTTTATTATTCCTTTTTCTAATTCTTTTAAGTAGTAAGTTAGCTTTTTTGAGGTTTTTCTTGCTCCTTGAGGAAGGCCTGTATCACTACAAACTTCCCTCTTAGAACTGCTTTTGCTGCATCCCATAGATTTTGTAAAGTTGTGTTTTTATTGTTGTTTGTCTCAAGGATTTTTCTGATTTTTCTCTTCGATTTCATCGCAGACTTTTTTTTTTTAAGTTGCATGCTGTTTAGTCTCCATGTGACCATTTTTTCCCCATTTTTCTTTCTATGGTTGATTTCTAGTTTCATACTGTTAAGGTCAGAGAAGATGCTTGAAATAATTCCTATACTTTTAAATTTGTTGAGGTTTGTTTTGTGTCCTAGTATGTGGTCTAACATAGAGAATGTTCCATGCATGCTTGAAAAGAATTCTGGATTCCAGGTGTTTTTTGGATGTAGTATCCTGTAGCTGTCAATTAAGTCCAACTGTTTTATTGTGTCATTTAGGATCTCTGTTGCCTTATTGAATTTTCTGTCTGGCATATCTGTCCATTGATGTTACTGGGATGTTAAAGTCTCCTACTATTATTGTATTCCTGTCAGTTTCTCCCTTTATGTCTGTTAGTATTTACTTTATTTAGGTTCTCCTACATTGGGTGTACACATGTTAATGAGTGTAATATTCTCTTCTTTTGTTAATCCCTTTATCATTATATAGTGTCCTCCTTTGTCTTTCTTTATGGACTTTGTTTTAAAATCTGTTTTGTCTGATATGAGCATTGCTACCCCTGCTTTCTTGTCATTTTAATTTGCATGAAATATCTTTTTCCATCCCCTCACTTTCAATCTATGTGTGTCTTTCACCCTAAAGTGAGTCTCTTGTAGGCAGTATATTGTAGGTTCTTGTTTTTTTATCCAAGCAGATTCGAATTTTTTGTTCCAATTATTGTACTTTTCAAATCCAGAGTTTCTGTTTGGTTCCTTTAAAAAAAAATTCATTTTAATCCCTTTGTTGGTGTTCTTTCTTCCGTGAGGCATGATGTCATGCCTTCAACTTTTAATTTCCTTCAGTTCTTTAGACATGCTTTCTTTTACTTCTTTGAACATATTTATATTAGTTGACTTAAAGTCTTTGCTTAGTAAAGGCAACCTTTGGGCTTCCTCAAGAATAATCTCTTTGACTGCTTTTTTTCCCCTAAATATGGGCCCATACCTTACTATTTCTTTGTGTGTGTCACAGCTTTTTGTCAAAAACTGGATATATAAAATAATGTGGTATCTCTGGTAATCATATTTCCCCCTTCTCCATCCTCAGAGTTTATTATTGTTGCTGTTGTTGTTACTGTTTGTTTAGTGACTTTTCTTGACTAATTCTGCCATCCTTATCTTTATCTTTATCTTTATCTTTATCTTTATTCTTTATCATGTATGGCCACTAAAATCTCTGCATGATTAGCTGAATCTTCAGATAATGATTTGACAGATTTTCTTAAATGCTTTTGACCAACATGTCTTCTGCTTTTTTTTCCCAGTGAGCACTTCGTGTGTTGGGGCATGCCTTCTGTGCTCTGGCAGTTAATAACTCTGCCCTAGTCTTTACTTCCTACTTGTGCAGAAACTCACAGTCTAGCATGGATGAGAGATCAGAGCTCTGTCAGGTCTTTCCTGGGCATTGCACAGCCTTCTAGATCCCCAGAAATATGTTAGAAATTACTAAAGCCCCTTATAGGTGTCTCATTTCTTAGATTTTTCCTTTGAGTTTTTTTGGCCAGCCTTTTGTTTGCCACAACTAGAATCACTTCCTCTGGCAACTACAATGTTAAATAATTGCTGCTCATTGTGGGGGGTCAGATCCTGGGTATAGGGTTTTGCTCACTGAATGACCTATGAGTCAGGTGAAGTAAAGATTAACTCCATGAATGGGGTTTTTTTAGGGAGGGTTTTAGGTTCAGTCAGGTCAAGGAGTGACAGTTCTCTGGGGACAGGGCTTTTGTTGGCCCTCCAAATTAATCTCCTTCCTTCAGTGGCTACTAGGCTGCTGGCTTTCATAACTAGTGGAGTTCTGAGGCTGCTGGTTTCCAAGGCTACCGTGAAACTGGGAAGACGGCATGAAATAGAGCAAGTTAAAACACTAGAAAGCTTACTGTTCTTATGAAGATTCAGCTGTTCCTCCTGAATAAATGTTACTAGGGTTTTTGCAAGCCTTTGGCTAACTACTAGAGTGCTGAGAAAGTTGATTTTGAAAATTTATCCCAGTGCTCTCATTGCTTTTATGGGGGAGTGAATGTTCAGAGGTCCTTCATTTATAAATCCCGAAGTGCTTCTGATTCTGCCTGTGCTTTTAACTACTATGCATATTTCCTCTGTTCTTTTTAGTATCTAATTATGGCCTATGTATATTTATTGTCAGCCATGAAAGTCCAGTCTTTGATTTCATTGAGAGCTGCTTGCGAAATAAACATGAAATGGTTATTTATGAAGCTGCTTCAGCTATCATCCATCTTCCTAATTGTACTGCAAGGGAGTTGGCACCTGCTGTTTCAGGTTGGTTGTATGTTTGATAGCTGGCTTTTATTTATTTTCTTACATTTTTGCTTTAAGTTCCATAGGTCTACAGGATAAGTATTTCTGAACCTTAGCTCTATATATATAGCCTTTACATTCTGATATATGGATTATTTATTTCAGTTGTTCTTTACTTAATTACAGTTGTCCCTCTATATCCGCAGGTTCTGCATCCCACAGGTTCAACCAAATCAGTTCACAGTTGGGTGAATCCTCAGTGTAGAACCTGCAGATACCAAGGGCTGACTGAACTACAGAATTTCATAAAAGAGTCTCGAGCATCCTCAGATTTGGTATCTGTTGGAGGTCCCAGAACCAGTCCCCTGCAGATACGGAGGGATAGCTATAATTCTTTTTCTGAAGTTACCATTTCCCCATGTAAAAAACATTAAAAATTTTTTTACTTAGAAAAAAGTAATTTTAATGCCTTCAGTTCTCCTTAATGTTTAAAAAGCCTGTTTGCTCTTGTAACTATAAATATTCCTACTCTTTAAATCCAGACATTAATGGGTTTGTTAAATTTTTGTAGAAAAATTAATCAACTGTTTCCAATATTTAAAGTTTTTATAACTCAACAAAGAGTGATTTTTCTATTTTTTCATGTGAATTTCTGATGCTGTGATCTAATTACTTTATGCATATTTTGAATATGATTCTTTATGTACTGTATTTTTGGAAATATGATATATGATGAAATGAGCTATATTCAGTGATACTTTTTTTCCTAGTTCTTCAGCTTTTCTGTAGCTCTCCTAAGCCAGCTTTGAGATATGCAGCTGTGAGGACCTTGAACAAGGTGTGTGAACCTTTGCTAACTATTGACATATCAGTGTTTCATTCAGAAACCTTAAATTGAACCATTTGGCTTTCTCTCCAAAGTTAGTGGATATGACTTATGAGCTTTACTTCTATAGCATCTCTCTTGTATTTGTGGCCTTAAGTATGGCATTTTTACTATTATTCAACTAAAGCTTATAATTCATTTCTGACTTTCAAGCACTTCATAGTCAAGAGCTTTACTCTTCAGTATGATGGGCATTAGCCATAAGTGGCTGTTTCCATTCTAATTAATTAGAATTAAATAAAATTAAAAATTTAGTTCCTCCGTCATTCTAGTCACACTTCATGTGCTCAATAGCCACATGTAGTTAGTGACTATCATACTGGGCAGTGCAGACATAGAACATTTCTATCATTGCAGAAAATCTTCTTGGACAGTGCTAGTCTTGAACATTGTTGATTCACATATGTAATTTTAAATTTTATTGTAACCACATTAACATTTTTTAAGATGAGATTAATTTTAATAATATACTTTAGTTACCTAATAAAATGTCATATCAACATGTGATCTGCAACACTGTAAAATGATTATGAATCAATAAAAATGTAAAAAAAAAAAACATGTGATCTGTATAAAATTATTAGAGATATATTTTACCTTCTGTTTTTTAATATTAAGTCTTTGATATTTAGTGTCTATTTTATATTGACAGTATACTTCAGTTTGGAGTGGCCACATTTCAAATGCTTAATAGTCACATGTGGCTGTTGGCTACCATATTATAAGTATATACTTATACATATTATAGAGTAAGTCTAGAAGATACAATACAGGAACATGGAATGAATTAAATAGCCATAAAAGTTTTAAATGAAAGTTTAATGTAGTAGAAAACTTGTCATAATGCAGTGGTATGTAATCGATTATAAATTAATTGTATGAACAATTGGAGGAGAGAGAAGTTTAGAGCAGCCTTTATGGAAGAAGCCTTTATAGAACAACAATATGAATTATATTTTAAAGAGTTGGTATAGGTCCACATTCCTTTATCTATAATCTTGGAGCCAGATGTGTGTCAGAATTCAGTATTTTATGAATTTCAGGGAGCTAATGTATTGCTGTCTCTTATTTTGCATGCTAACGTCATTGGGCCTGGAGCAGCACTCCACCATTAGACACATTAATATTTCTGCTTTGTACATATGGCTGTCCTTGCTAAGTGGAATATATTAAGACTTAGTTTTACACTAGTTTGGGTCATGTTTTGTCATTAAGTGAATTTTGATGCCAATACTTTGCTGAGTTTTTAGAATTTTAGAATTGTGGGTAAAGGATTGTTTTTTTTACCAGTATTGGGATAGGCAGAGAGGTGAACGTCATCAACAAAAGCAAAGAAGCAGGAAAATGCCAGACACGTTTTAATGACCATGAGCGATCCAGTTTGACTGGAGTTTGCTTGCTTAAATATAGAAGTGTTTTCTAAGTGACAAGATATTAAGAGTCTGGGCAGTGTTTATCATTCTAGGCCCTGTTCTCAGAGATTCTAACATCTAGTAGAATAGCTATTCATGAACACATCTATTATAAAGAAAAACAGGTCAACTGCAATAGAAGACAGACTTATACTGTTATCTATACTGATACTGTTACAAATGTTATAGAAACCTGGGATGAGAAAGTGCTGTGCTATACTATGACTGGCAGGTAATCACTTATCAAATAATACATCATACCTTTTTAACTGGTACCGTTCATCCTGAAACAATCACTTTTTAACCTATGTTGTCCTATTTACATTTTAAAAAGCCATTTACTGTAATTAAAATTTTTATTTCCTTCTTCCCTTATTTTTTAAAGTTCTGGTCTTTATCCATAGCAATTTGCTTAATTTTTTTCTTGCCCTTCGACAAGGTGGCAATGAAGCACCCCTCTGCTGTTACTGCCTGCAACCTAGACTTAGAAAACTTGATCACAGACTCAAACAGAAGCATTGCTACCCTGGCCATTACTACACTCCTCAAAACAGGAAGTGAGAGCAGTGTGGATAGGCTTATGAAGCAGATATCATCTTTTGTGTCTGAAATCTCAGATGAGTTCAAGGTAAAAGTTTAAATACAATCATGTTTTCTTCCAGTCGCTGGCTTACCTATTTCTTAACAGTGACTTTTGATGAGTAGAAGTTTTAAATTTTTATGAAGTCTAATTTATTAATGTTTTTCTTTCACAGTTACTGCTTTCTGTGTTCTAAGAAACTTTTGTCTACTACCAAATCTTAAAGATATTTTATATTTTTTTCTAAAAAATTTACAGTTCTAGCTTCTACATTTTGGCCTATGATCCAACTTGAATGAGTAATTGTGTGTGATAAGTTCATTTTTTTTCCATACTTTTTTCCAGTCATTCCAGCATAATTTGCTTAGAACACTTCTCTTTCCCCATTGGAGTACCTAGGCATCTTTGTCTAAAAAGCAGATAACCAGACAATTGTAGGCATATTTCTGGGCTCCTTATTATATTCTGTTGATCTATTTGTCAGTCCTGTGCCAGTACCACACTTGATTGATTAATGTAGCTTTATGGTACCTCTTAAATGTGTGGTCTTCCAACTTTGTCCTTTTTTTAATATTCTAGTTCCTTTGCATTTCCATATAAAATTTAGAACCATCTTGTAATTTCTGTAAAACAAAGCCTGCTGGGATTATAATTGGGATTGTGTTGAATCCATAGTCAGTTTGGGGAGAACTGACATCTTAATATTTATTCTTCCAGTTCATAAATATGGTATACCTCTCCATTTATTTAGGTCTTCTTTAATTTCTTTGAGCAATGTTTTGTAGCATTTACTCTAGAGGTCTTGCATGTCTTTTGTCAAATTTATATCTAAAAATTTTATGCTTTTTATTCCATATTATTAAAATTTCTATTTCATTGTTTGCTGCTAGTATATAAAAAATACTTTAAAAAAAAACCTTTCCTATAACTCAGTATTCTTGCTAAGTACCTTTACTGCTTCTGCTAGTTGTTATATACATTCCTTAGGATTGTCTATATAAGTAATCATGTTATCTATGAATAAAGACGGTTTTACATCATTTCCTATCCAAGTATCTTTCCTTTCTTTTTCTTGCCTTATTAAAATGGCTAGGACTTCCAATACACTGTTGAATAGAACTGGTGAGAATGTGTCAGAGATAATAAAAACAAAACAATAAATTTCAGTTAGAAGAATTAAAGTAAGTCTTATTAAAGTCTTATTTAGTTCTTAATCAAGAAGTATAGCTGACCCTATTTACTCTCTTCTAGTGTGCATCTACTTTTAAAAAACAAACTTAGCCTATGTTCTCAAGTGGACATTTTGAATCTTTGGGGAACCTTGGGAGTTTATGATGGTCATTTTGAAATACAATTTATTGAACAAATCTCCTATCCTTGAAAACTTAGATAGCTTGCAGTATTTTGTGATTACAAGTGATGCCACAGTGGATAACCTTGTGTATATGTTTTCTTGAAATGTTGGATGTGTGTCCTCAGGGTGAATCCTAGTTCATATGCTAGACTGAAGGGTAAATATGTAGTTTTGTAGAGTATGCTAAATTCAGCAATGTATGAGTGCCAGTTTCCCAATAGCTTCACCTATAGAGTATTTTGAAGTTTTGCCAACCTGATAGGTGAGAAAGGGTATCTCAGTGTAGCTTTAATTTGAATTTCTTTTATCATGAGGGAAGTTAAACATCTTTGCATATTTTTAAAGATCATTTAATATCTCTTTTTGAATATTGTCTGTTCGTATCTTTTCCCCATATTCTATAAGATTTTTGGTCTTTTGTTTCCTCAATTAAATTCTTTTATATATTAGGGATATTAGTTCTTTATCTGAAATGTGCTATGGTATTTTCTCTCAGTTTGTCATTTGTCCTTTAGTTTTTCTTATAATGTCTTTTATCATGCACACTTTTAAAATTTTTATGTAGTTAGGTTTGTTGATCTTTTCTTTTATTGGGTTGGACTTTTGATTAATAATTAATTAGAAAGACTTTCTCTTCAGATTGTAGAATTTGAATGGGTGCATTTATTCTACCCATGTTTTCTTCTAGTATATGTATAGTTTTACTTTTTGCATATAAGTACTTGACTCCTTGGATTTTTAAATTATATGTAGACTAAGAAATGTATGTAATCTTATCCTTTTCCATGACTATCCAGTTGCCCCCCACCAAAGTTTCATTTAAAAGGCTGTCTTTGCCCCAGCATTTGAGATACCACCTTTACCATGTACTAATGTTCCATATGTACTTGGGCCTATTTGGGGGCTTTCTATTCTATTCTGTTATTGTCTCTATTAATAGCGGGGTTGGGTATAGCTCAGTGGTAGAGTGCATGCTTAGCATGCATGAGGTCCTGGGTTCAATCCCCAGTACCTCTATTAAAAAAAAAAAATAAATAACTAAACCTAATTATCCCCACCCCAAAAACTGAATTAAAAAAATACATCAGTACCACACACTATTTTAAATATAGAAGTTTCATAGGATGTATTAGTATCTCTTAGTCCTCTCTCATAGTTCTTTATTTTTATTGTTTCCCTAGCTATTCTTACATATTTATTTTTTCTTATGAACTTAAGTATTAACTTGTCTAGTTTCATAAAAAATTTCATTGGTATTTTTATGGGGATCACATGAGGTTTGTAAGTTAACTTAGGGGAGTATAAATCTCTTGACGATGTTGAGATATCCTAACCAAGAACAAGGGATATTTTTAGTTTGTTCAAGTCTACTTTTGTGCCTTTTTAGAATATTTTATAGTATCTTTTAATTTTGAGTATTTGAAAAGTTCTTTTCTTAGGTATTTTATCTTTATTGCTGTTGCTATTTAAATCTTTTTACTCGTATCTTCTACCTTGTTATTATTTGTGTATATGAACAGTATTATTTTTGCATGTTAATTTTATAGTCTACTACCTTACTGAGTTGAGTTAGTTTTATCATTGATTCTCTGTGGTTTCCAGATTATACTGTCATGTCATTTGTAAATAAAGATGGTTTTGTATTTTATTTTCTAGTTTTTATTCCTCTAATCGTTTTCTCCTGTCTAATTGCATTGATTAATATCTCCAGAATACTATCAAATAATAGAAATAGTAGCATCCTTAAATTGTTTCTGACCTTAATATATATGACTCTTGGGGCTATTAAGGAATATGCTGGCAATAGGACTGAGAGGGTGTGTGTGTGTGTCTGTGTTTAAAATGGAAGGGTCCATCCATTCCTATTTTATTTAAGAATTTTTGCTAGGAATGAGTGTTGGATTTTATCAGACGTTTTTCAGCATCTGTGGATATAATTATATGACTTTTCTCCTTAAACTCATTAATGTTGATGAATTGTATTAATTTTCTAATGTTGAACCAGTTTTGCATTCTTGGCATAAATTCCATTTCATCATGGCATGTTATTTTCTTACTGTTGTGTTGGAGTCTGTTAGCTAATATATCACTTAGAATTTGTACATCAATATTCATAACTGATTTCCATCTGTAATTTTTCTTTTTGCATGTATACCATCTTTATTAGGTTTAGGTGTCATTGCTTCATAAAGATTGTGGATGTTTTCCTTCATTTTCTATGCTCTGAAACAATGTATATAGATTTGGGACTATTGGTTGTTGGTAGACAATTCTCAAGTCTCCATGAATTTCTTGGATTTCTACACACCCTGTAAGTTAGGCACTCACTGCTGTTTGTTCTCTTTGTGTAGTGCAAGATATCTTCCAGCCTTAAAAGATACAGCATCTTCCTCTAAAAGTAAAGGGCAGGTTTCCATTCAGCCCTAGAAGATACAGTTAGTGCTCCTTCTAGAGCAAAAGACAAACATGCTCATTGCCCAGTGTAATAAGGATGATGTTTCCCTTCAAAATAAAGGACTGGCATGCTTACTGCCCACTGTAAAATGTTCAAGTTCCCTACCTCAGGTTCTCCTGTACTGCAGCCTACTGCAGGGTCAAGTATTATCTGGCCCTTTCTACACTGTCCTGTCGGAACTGGGATTCAGGAAACTGACCCCCAGATGTTGATACCCTGGCTACTGCTTTTGCTGTGAGTAATTGTCTTTCATCTCTGGTCCAGAAGTCCTGTGTTTTCTAGCATCCATGGAACTGTGGCAGACTAACTTAGCTTGCAAGTAGCGTAAAATCTTGCACCCTTTCAACTTCTTGACACTGATCTTTAAAGTTGTGGTAAAATTTTCCTAGAAACCATTTTGTAAAGTAGTTCCTTGATAACCTTCTCTATTTCTTCTATTTCTTCTGTTTAAGCTTTTTAGCTTTACTGTTCACTTTAAAATTTTTATGTGCTTGTTTGCTTGGAGCAGAGGGATGGTGGAGTCTCTTGAATGCACTTCATTTTTACATTGGTTTTATTTTCCTTTGAGGTCTCCTTGCTTATCTTTCATGAAGAATCATTATTGTCATTTTAGTTAACTGCAGTGCCGCCTTAGCATGCAGTAAATGAGAGGAAATGTGTGCTTAGAAGCTAAAGTTATAATGATGAACGTCCTTTCTGTGGTTTTCTCTGGGTGGTAGTTGTACGGTCACTATAAAGGTGGATGTGCTTTTCGTTTGTTTTTCTACAGGTGGTGGTTGTACAGGCAATTAGTGCTCTCTGTCAGAAATACCCTCGAAAGCACAGCGTCATGATGACTTTCCTCTCCAACATGCTCCGAGATGATGTAGGTGGACTACTTCTTCAATGTGGGAAGTTGCTCTCAAATTCTTACAGTATTTACAGCAGCTTTCTTTATCATCTCAGCATGCCTCTCAAAAAGTGCTCAATTCTGGTTGCTGTCTTATTACTAAACATGCTGTTACTTTGGCTTTCCTACTTGGAGGGAAAAACACTTTTGTTTCTTTCATAAGGGAAGGGAAATGAAATTTGAATGTTACAGCATGAGCCTTGGAGTATAAGCATTTCTCTAAAAAGTGTCCTCAGAATGAATGGCCGTTTTCTCTTTTGCCAGGGAGGCTTTGAATATAAGCGGGCCATTGTGGACTGCATAATCAGCATCGTGGAAGAGAACCCTGAGAGTAAAGAAGCAGGTCTCGCCCACCTTTGTGAATTCATTGAGGACTGTGAACACACTGTTCTGGCTACTAAGATTCTCCACTTGTTGGGCAAAGAGGGCCCCAGAACACCTGTCCCCTCCAAGTATATCCGCTTTATTTTTAATAGGGTCGTGCTGGAGAATGAGGCCGTCAGAGCTGGTGAGTCACTGGAACACTGATAATGATGTAACTGCTGGCCTTTTGAAATGCTAGGCTCAAGCAGGGTGATAATGAAATTAGAAAATGAAGTTGCAGAGTCTGTTTGACAGTGGGATCTGGGAGCATACTTAAGCCCAGATGTGTAGCTCTTTATATTTCCAGTTTCCATCCTGATTTCTGCCTTCTATCAGAGACAGATAACCCTTGACTTTCAGTACGAGAGGAAGGCTGTGATGGCATCATCCGTCCTTTCAGAATTATGGCCAGAAGAATGGATGTCTGTGAAATTTGTGTCTTGTCATTTTTAAGTGACTTTTTAAACAGGCTTAGGAATTTTTTACTTCCTCCTCTCTAATTGTTACTTCCTGTTAGCATATGAACAGGTGCAGATATCTCCTGTTAAAGATATAAGCCCTCTTTTGATCCACTGTCTCTCATTAGCAACTGACTATAATTCCCCTGTCAGGTAAACTTGAAGTAGCTGTTACTGGCTGCCTTTATGAACTTATTTTCCATTTTCTCTTCAACTCACTACAATGTAGTTCTGTCTTTTAAAAAATCTTCTGAAACTGTTTTTTAAAAAAATTACTTAAAAGCTAGTTGGAAATTCAAGTTGGACATTTTAATGTTCTTATCTTTGTTCACCTCTCAGTCAGTTTGATGTACTGTTGACTAAACACTTCATGAAACTCTCTTCCCTTGGTTTCCTCAATAGCCTCCATCTTTCTATCACTCCCTAGTCTTACTTATAGAGCTTTTCTTCCATTCTTTAAAAAGTTAGTTTCCCTTAGAGAGTTGTCTTCTCCACACACATTCTTCCTGGTGATCATTTTCAAAGCTCTACTGATAGGCTGTGACATTGCGGTCATGGCTGTTTCCTGAACTTGCATGTCTCCTAACTATCTAAGGCACTTCAGATTCAACTTGAAATTCCCAAACTGAATTCCTCACCTATAATATCCACTCAGTTTCAAAGCTAGAACCTTATTCCATTGCTTTATAACCCTGTCTATCCTTGAGCAAAGACCTGTCAATTCTGTCTCCTTAATACTTATTTCTGTATTCTCTTTTTTTTTCCAGTTTTCCCAGGTGCTGTATTAGGCTCCCATCCATTTCAGATGCCCAACTAGTCTGACTGCTTGTAGTCTCACCACATATCCAACATACTCTTCACACTCTGCTACAAATACACAAATTTATCCTGTATTTAACACCATTAATAATAACTTTGAGATTAAACCATAAGCTCTTCTTAATCTCTAGTCACTCACTCATCTCCTGCTCTCCAACTCAGGTCTACTCTTCAGCCTTTCTCAGCTGTGTTTAGTTCCAGGATTAGACCATACTTTCTTCTCTGGGGTCAGGGTTTTCATGCTTTTAATTCTCTCTGCCTTGAATCATCTTCTCCTGCCTTTTCCCTCTGGCTAACTCTGCTTGTTTTTCAGACTTTAGCTCACGTAATGTCAGCTCCTTATCTTTCTTCTCCACCACCAATTCTGGCTTAAGTTCCTTTTTCTACTCACACGGCATCCTGGGTATAATTCTGCCATGGACTTACTATGCTACGTTGTAACTATCTCTTTACTTACCTGTCTTTCCCACTTGGGATCAGGGAGCATGTCTTTTATCTTTCTATCCCCAGTACCTAGTACAATTCCTGGCAAAAATTAGATAAGCAATAAATCTTTGTTGAATTAAGTGAATTTTAATAATAGGGGGTTTAATTTTTTTATGCATGGGGCTGGTCATTTGAGATTAGAGATTAATTAAGTGTGGTATATTAGAGGTCAGCCTGGAGGACAGCTCATATAAGACTTACATAGGGTCCTCTTTCCTCAATGCATGGAGGGTTTTCCTATTCAGAGCTCTGCCAATTTTATTTATGCTTAAATGGATCAAAGAAATAAGATCAAGAAATACACAATAAGACAATAGTTTATTCCCACTGAACATGAGAAAATTTAACTTTTTTTGAATGATTATTGCTTAACTCTGAGAAGTCAATATTTATGCTGTTTCATTTTATGCTTCATTATAGCTGCTGTGAGTGCTCTGGCTAAATTTGGGGCTCAGAATGAGAATCTTCTCCCAAGTATCCTTGTACTCTTACAAAGGTAAAGTAAAAGAATGTATTTTTTTTAAAAGTAAGAATGTCATATCTTTTATCTTTCTACCCCCAGCACCTAGCACAATTCCTGACAGAAGTGAGGTGAGCAATAAATCCTTGATGAATGAAGCCAATTTTAATAGTAGAGGTTTTTGTTTTTATGCATGGAGCTGGTTGTTTGAGATTAGAGCTTAATTATTTAGTGTGATATATAAGGGGTCATGGAGGATAGCTCATATAAGACTTACATATGATCCTTTTTCCTCATTGTACCACATCAAATGCATTGCAGGGCCTAAGACTAGAGCTGATGGAGTAAGTCAGGGGGAAATGGCATTTTTCTTACTCTTCCGGTAATTTTGCATGTGCCAAGAACATACATTATTTGACTTTTAATTTCTCTTGCATGATTTTGATAAAGTGACAAATGCATGTGCCTCAATTTGTATAGCAGGGGCCAACTTCAAAGTGACTCACTATCTAGAGTTGAAAATACCAGCTGATTTTCATGGTCTCCATGACTCCCAATTTGATGAGGAAAAGGCTTGCTTTTGCAAACACTCTGTGATTGCATCTTGTAATTGAAAGGCTGGCTGGTTTAAATAAAACAAATTGCCATTTGAGTTGTATCAGTGCCTGGATTCTGAATGCTTTTTTGTCTCCTTGGAAAGTGTAGTATTACCATTTTTTAATTATAAAGAAGTCTCAGTCTTTTCCAGAGTCATGTGGTTGCAGATCCAAGAATACACTCCGAACTGCTATCTTATGTTACTGTGTTCTTCTTAATTATTTCGCTGCCTACTTATGTAGTGCTTCTGATTCATAATGACACCATTTCTTTACCAATTCAGAACAGTACCCAAGATTTGTGGAGATTTTAAGATCCACTGTTGGCTGTTGTTGAGCTCTTTTATGAAGGTAGTATCAGATGGTGTGAACTGTGTCCTTTAGGAATAGTGGTACAGCTGTGGGAAGTCTTTAGGCTGCTGTGACATGCCTATTCTGTATCCTCTGGACAGGTGTATGATGGATACTGATGATGAGGTACGGGACAGAGCTACCTTCTATCTGAATGTGCTACAGCAGAGGCAGATGGCACTGAATGCTACCTATATCTTCAATGGTCAGTGAGAACCAAGAAGGGAGACAAATATACTTTTGTTCCACGGATGGTGTCTTGGAAGCATATCTCATGATGATTTGCATATGAGCTGGCTTCACTAGGCAAAATGCTTGGTTTTTGTCTTTGAATGCACTTCCATTTCTAGGCAAACCTAAAGGATATAAAAGCCCAAAGAATGTTTGCTTGTTCCTGGTTCTCCTTGAGCTCCTTCTTGGGTTTGTCTTTTTCCCCCTTTCTTCTGCTGTTATTGTTTCCACATGGCTCTGTTGCTTTCTTTTGTGGAAGATACTTGTATTTTGTTGAAAATTTTTATGCTTTGCTCCTATGGTTCCTTGGATGAAATAATAAGAGCACCCCCCCTTTTTCATTAGGAGCCTTTATTTTAAATTATTTAGGTTATAAAATCTGTGGTTGTATTTTTCTTTAGAAAGCTTAGATAAATATTACAAACCTGGGCCTGTCTGGATCCTAGGATTGACAAGAAGTTATAATGCTGGGATTTCTCTGTTTCATAGGTCTAACAGTCTCTGTGCCAGGGATGGAAAAAGCCTTACACCAGTACACATTGGAGCCTTCAGAGAAGCCCTTTGACATGAAATCTATCCCCCTTGCTATGGCTCCTGTCTTTGAACAAAAAGCAGGTAATGGGAACACTTTGTTAATTTTTCTGTGTATAAATAGTTTTATGCCAGTAAAATAATAGTTAGCATACTTTCTCTTAATATTTCTTTTGTCACGACTTACTTATAAATCTTACAGAACTAAGATGGATGATACTTTTTTAAATTAGGGTTTTAAAAAAATTCCCCTTGTTTTCTCATGAAAGCAAGAATATGAAATGTGACTCAGACCGAAAGTTGTTTTTTTTAATGCTGAGTGTAACAGCATTTTAAGTTAATTGTCACCATGTGTCTCAGAGCAGTAATTATGCTGCCAACTCCTATTTTTATTTTCTGATGTTGGTTACTCTTAATTAATTTTTCTATTGGAGGTTTAAAAAAATAAAAGAAGTGTTTAGTGGTTAGAACTGAAAAGGAAAGATCTCATGCTTAACTTTCGACATTTTCAGTTTGTTGATACTATACAAGTATTTTTTTTCCTATTTGAATCATGAGATTTGTTTTTATAAACTGTTTCTCTTTTTAAGAGTAATTTTTTAAAATATTCTGGTCCATTTAAAGCAAAATTATATTTTTAGGACTTTATTATTTCACTAAATACATTTTAATTGGAGTTGTCCCTCCAAAAAAAAAAAAAGGTAGCAGAGCACCTACTGGTATAATTTAGCCATGGCTCCTTATATATCTGGTAGAAGTTTCTGCCCTCGTCTCCTTCTGTCTGCATTTTGAGCTAGATAGTGGGAGGGAAGCTCACTTGATTGCTCATATCTGTCTTTGTAGAAATCACACTGGTGGCTACTAAGCCAGAGAAGTTGGCTCCTTCCAGGCAAGACATTTTCCAAGGTATGATGATTTGATGTGTAGAAGCAGTAGCCTTGTACCCTAGGCATTGTAAATATAATGAAGTCCACTGCTTTTATTCAGTTTGATTATTTCTTGGTACAGGAAATCTTTGTGAGGCTGAATGTTTGTTGTCACAGCCCACCGTTGCTGTGGCTGCCTGCAGTCTGTGGGACTTGTCAGTCTAAGTGGGAGTGTTTTTACTCTATCTTGGTTAATGGGAATTCATATTCTATGAAATCAAGGATTTAGTTTCTTCCTTTTTTTTTCTTTCGCCTTTAGCAATTCAGTGTACAAATTCTCTTACTTAAAAGATTATTTACTAAAGTTTGGAGACATATTAGTTGGGTGTTTAACTATTAGTAAGGCTATGGAAACTGAAAACATTTTAGACATTCAGAGAAACGTCTTCCTCTATCTTCTTATCTTTCTTCCTTCTTTCCTTTCCATTTTTCTTAATAGAACAACTGGCTGCCATTCCTGAGTTTATGAATCTAGGACCCTTGTTCAAGTCATCCGAGCCTGTCCAACTTACAGAAGCAGAGACAGAATACTTTGTTCGTTGTATCAAGCACGTGTTTACCAAGCACATTGTGTTCCAGGTGAGATCAGTGCTGTAACAGGCTCCTGGGAGGGGCTTAATACTCATTCCCCTTCAGTTTATGATTCTAGTTCCTTTTATAGAGAAGTAACGTGGCAGCATTTCTGGTTTTCTTTCCTAAGTCCATAGCTCTAGAGATGCCTTCGTGTGATGGGTAGCTTTTAATGGTTTAAATTTAAAAGAACATAAAATCAAAATGTCTAAAGAAGTTGGACAGCATAAAGTAGAACCTGCTTAAAAAAAATCATTCAATATCAGGGTAAATTAAGTGCATTGTCCAAGAACTTGGATTTTAATTTGTTTCCCAGACAGCTGTCAGGCCTCTACCCTGTCATTTGGTAGAACTCAGTCTCAGGAAAGAGAAGAAACTAGTGAATAACATAAAGGAGAGCTCAAGAATAAGCTTATGCCTGTTGCCTCAAGAAAACCTTTAGGGGGAGACCTGTCTTGGTGTATAGAGAGGGAAAGTGTAGTGGGTTCTGGGACTGAGTTGTGGGTTATGGGTGGGAAGGAGCAACTTGCTTGAAAACAGTTCTTATCCTTCATAACTTTTGTGTTTGCTGCCTTTTCAGTTTGACTGTACCAATACTCTCAATGACCAGCTGCTGGAGAAAGTGACAGTGCAGGTGGAACCATCAGACTCCTGTGAAGTGCTGTGCTGTATCCCAGCGCCCAGCCTAACTTATAATCAGCCGGGAATATGTTACACTCTTGTTCGTTTACCTGATGACGACTCTACAGCAGGTACTGATACCCAGAATGAAAGACATATGATTGTGGGTACATTACCACTTGAGCTCGTAAATGTCTGGACAAGTATTTGAGGTTCAAGAATTTGTTTGTTTTCCAGAATTAAATGTAATGATAATGATGGTATATTTATATTTATAAAATTAATTACTGCTATAGATATACTAATTTTATAACTAATTCTCTGAGTAAAATATGCTGGACATTTAATCTTAAAAGAGAAACTGAATGTATACAGTGGTAGCCCAAAAAGGAATTCAGACTTTCTGTTGAAACAGTGTGACCACTGGTTCATGTAGCTGATGTCTCCTTGAAGGATCATGGCCTCCTTCTCCCTGATGTTTCTTTCCAGGGCATCTTGGGGATTTTTTACTTAGTAGATCCATGGCATCTGAAAATGTATTTTTTTTAAGGGTCCTGTAGCCCAAGGCTGGCGTCTTAGTATGTCTCAGCCCAGTAAGTGGCTTAGCCAACAACTGGGTGTCCACATTTGAGAAAGGCTTTGTAATTCTCCACTTGACCTGTATGCACTGTATGCAGTCTTAGGGGTGGGGGATGGGGGTCCGGGGAGGCCTGTGAAGGAGAACCAACTGCTAGTGCCAACAGTATTTACAAATTTGGGGATTTGAGACCTTCTGACATATCTCTTCTGAATGTCAAGTATTTGTTGTACTTGCTTTCCTCCTTTTCCTTTGTGAGTTCTTTTCTTCCCAGATTCACTGCAGAATATTCACAACTGCTAACCAGTTTACTCAGAAATAAGCACACACATCACACTTAACATTTTAAACAATTTTTATTACTAGTACAGGAAAAACAATTTTTACTGTTAATACAGGAAAAAAGCAAAGTAACAAATAGTGGGGAAGTTACAGAGTTACAAGAAATCATAAAAGTACTAGTCAATAGTTGTCCCTGGTCATCACTGAGTTACATTTGGGGCTTAACCTGTCTTCTCTTAGCCCTCTCCCAACCCCCTTTTTAGCTGTTGGTTCTGGGAGCCCCTGTCCAGTCTCATCTGTGTTGGATGATAGACCAGGCTACTCACTCTAGCACGAGGTAGATTCAAGTTGGCACCATTGCTGGGTCTGAAGCCCAGGTTGTTCCCTCTGGCCCTGGGTGGACCTGCACTTGCAGCCACCCTGGATCCATAACCCCCTGGGTAGGAAGGCACTTTTCTATCTGGCCTCCAGTATTTCCCCTTCAAGCATTAGGCATCCAACTTTAACCTCTCATTACCTCCTTTATCCCTTTATGAGGTTTCTCTAGTTCCGTTCCCTTTTAGCTACACTTTCTTTCCTGGTCTGTTTTCCTCTGGTTAGACTCATTTGAAATATGTCCACCAGCCAGTAATTAAGCTGGCTGTACTCTTTAGTAAAGCTAGTTTTATTTAGCCTTGTTCTAAACCAGTATCTGGGCCCAGTCTTAATGTAGCCCTGTGGCTTCTGCCATCATCCTGGGAGATTCCACATTTTTTTAGTTTTTTCCAGTAGCCACCTCTCCTTATTTCACAATTCTTCCCCCATTGTACTTCTTACTAAGTTTCTTTTTCTTAAGGGATGCCATTCCTTTGCCACGTAATTTCAGAGGGAAGCAAAATGCTGAACTCATTGAAGAATCAAGCTTTTCCCAATTGAGAATACTAGCTCCTCCCATTTCCCCAGGTTCACTTGGATAACTGATAACTCAGGTGCCTCACATCCCAAGGAGTGGTCCTAACAGAATACAATAAATACAGTTTTACAATATCAAAATACGTAAAACAACAATATTGAAATTACAGAAGTTACATATAGTACAGGAGAAAACAACAACAACAGAAAACATTTCTACCAAGACAAAATATAGGGGCGGTTTCTTACACCTCCTTACTAAGGAGTTAATTTCTTTTTAAAATATAGATCTTACAAATTAGCCCAGAGGTTTCAACTTTTGGTCTGCTGGCTATGGGCGCTTTTGCTTGATGGTTGTTAGTATTTTGTTTGTAAAAATTTGACATTTGGAGAATTTTCTTTCTTTTCTGTTAAATTTAAAGGATTTGCTGATTGGTGTTAAAACTTAGTTGTAAATTTGTCTTTGTATCTTGGAGAGAAGAAATGGAATTCTGTCTCAACATTTGGACTTTTAAAACTTTGTTAGTAGTCAATTTATATTTGACCCATCACGTGCCTGCTTTAAAAAAAAATCCTTTCTATTCTTTAGTCTTTGTTAGAAACTAAAATTTTTCATCCATGGCCAATCCAAAGTCTTTGCTGTACAGTGAACAGAAGTGAAACACCAGGGTCTAGGCGGTACTAAGAGTCTTTTACCCATTCCTTCTTTTCTGCATTTTCCCACTGTAGATATGTTGAATTTCACCAATCACCTGAAGATATATACATCACCGCTACTTGTCTTATCTCAGAAAATATATTTTCCATATAATTACAGAAAAAAAAATTCTGGAGACTGTGATTTCCTTCAACTGTATAGAATAGAAAGGAGTCTAGGTTTTGAAGATAGATTGGGATTTGAATTCTGACTCTGCTACACACTGACTGTAATCTTGGACAAATTATTTGATCTCTGTAGGCCTTTTAGGATTGTCAGAGGGATAAAATGAAATTAAGTAAAGTGATTAGTGTGGTGCCAGATACATAGTAAATACTTAATAGATAGAAGCTATTATTGTTTCAGTTCTGAAACTATCCACTCTCTCCCTTTATCTTCTTTAAAATCAAGTCTCTCACAGTTCAAAAGACACACACTGGCCAGTCTCCCCCAGAAAGCTGTTCCAGCAATTGTTCTTATCTTTGCTGTATCTTTAAACTTGCTCACTCCTCCTACTTTATAAGTGTCAAAAAAATCTACGCCATCTGAAAAAAATCTACTCTAACTCAACATCAAGATATTACCATAACTCTGTCCGTCAAATCTTGGGCAATTTGTGGAAAGAGTAATCACCTTCATAAGTCTCAATTCAGTTAGTCCTACTTACTCTTTTCTGTCCTCCATAATTACTCTTCACTCAAATTTGTAGAAAAGCCTTCAAGGCAGCATGCCTTCTTCATGTCCTTTCTCATCCAGCAACTTTCTTTCCTCTGAATATTTATTATACTAGTAATAACATACATATATGCAACATTCTACAAATTTTTCCCTGCTTTGGACCTCTATAATGACCCTACCTACTTAACTTTTTGTTTTATTATGTCGTATTTCTCATCTTAAAGCATTTCAACAAATTTACATAACTCACTTAAAAGGTCTTTAATATCAAATATCCATACTAAGATCAAGTTTAACAGTGATGTATGAGTCTTTTTCTGGTTTTCATTAGGGAGGCTGCCTCCCATTTAACAATCCATAACTTTCGCATATGCTTCAGTTCTCAACTTTCTGCCTTGAGCTACCACGGGATTCTGACGGACTCCAGACTCTTCTCTGAATCTGCAGTCTCCATTCTATTATTTGTGGTTCAGTATCAACTGTATTAACTCCTGACATTCTGACATTAAATCCACAGCTTCAATTAAGTAACATTTCTGTTTTTTACTTTGACTCACCTCCAGCCACTCACTGGGATCCACACTAATGACCCTTGATGAAACTCTGCATTCTTCTTAGCTAAGCACATAATCTCAATTTTTACTCAAAGCCTATAAAAGCAGGATAAGTTGAATATAACTGTTCAACCACCGTGTCCCCTATCACTAGAATTTATATCAGTCTAGCCGTAAAATCAGTTTTCCTCCAATTTGACCCATTATGAGATTGGCCAAGACTTCCAGTTTGAGATTTCATTCACCCTGTTCATTCATTTCATAACCCGTCTCCCTTTCCTCAAACACACTGAAATGTCTAACTTTCCCTCTATACTTACTTTCAGTCTGATTTCTATCCTATTTCATGTTTCCGTTTCACACCATCAGCATCAGTAAATGTAATCTTTATTGCTCCTTTTCTTAAGTGATAGCATCTCTCCAGAATGCAGTGTAAACATGGCATATCCACTCATTTCCTCTTTTTCCCTCTTGACCTTAGGGAAAAACCCTCTGCTTGGTTCACCCAGGCTTGGTTCACAACCTGAGCTTTTAAATAGATTCAGTATGTGAAAATGTGTGAACTTCCTCCTTGACTTACTGTTACTATTCCAAACGATACCACTGTAATGCGTGCATCTTCATCTTTGGATGTCAGTGTTACCAATGTCATGAGGTTGCTGCTGGCGCTCTCCCTTCAGATTTCATTTTATGAATTTACCTCCATATGACTATTTATTCTCCTGAATCTACCCACTCTGACGTAATTATCTGATGGATTTTTTCCGGCAGCCACCAATTTGCCTGTGACAATTTCTTTTTATATATTTCTTCCATTTTCCTTTATGCCATTAATTGTGCTCAAGTTTAACACGCAGCACTATGCCTCGTAACCATTATAATCCTCCTTAATAATTCCACGGATGATTTGTATCATTATATGTATACTGTCAACTTAATTCCAATTTCATTTTAACCATTTCTTTCCATTTTTCCTCTGCTCTTTTTCATTGGAAAAACATTAAACATATAAACACTACATCAACATCTGAAGAAGACTATTTTACCAGTGCTAAATACAATGCTTTCAAAGCTCAGCTGACTGCACCACACCACCTTTACTCTGTACTGGGCTGTGCTACAGCCTCTCCCTCTGTGAACATTCTGCGTCGTGTATCTTCCTAATAAAAGCATGCTTGCCCACAGACATAGCAGATAGCACCTATGCTTTCTTATATTCACTAGTATGCACCTACTGTCTGATCTCAATACCACATATGCCCCACTCCTGTCCCTGAGATCTGCTGATGTCCCCAGATTGGGAGCCCTTCAGGCTGCCCTCGCCTTTTCTTTAGAGCCCCCTTTAACTACCCTGAGCCCTTCATACATTCATCAGGTTCTCCCCCTCTCCCATGATGCCTGTCCCTTTCTCCTCCCTTTGACTCCCCTGGCCCGTCTCAACGCTGGCCTGTCCCCTTCATGGCTGCTCAGGAATCCAAGGTCTCTGCACACTGGGTGTGGACTGAGCCTTCCTTGGCCCATCGTCTACCTTTTCTCCCAATCCAGCCTTTGAGAGCCACTCTGCTTTACCTTCAGCATCTGATCCTACCTCCCCAACCACCTGCCAGTCATGTGACAGATATAGTGGTCTCTTCCTTGATATCTGCTCCCTTCTTGATCTGCCCTCACGCTCCCCTGTGAGCAGCTTCTTGGTCTGCAGGGTGCTGCATGAATCCATATGCTGTTCCAATTCACCCTTAAGCACACTATCTTTGCAGGTCCCCCATTTTGGAGATGGTCATGGCCTCTCTGGGCTTGTCTCTGACCTTTCATCATTTCATCTTGTGTTGCCCTGCACTGACTGGGTTGTCTCCAATGTCTTCCATGAGTCAGTACCTCTACCACCTGATCCTCCTCTAGCCTATTCCTACCCCAGCATGTTCCCCACTAGCCTTACTCCCATGCTATCCTCTGCCTCCTACATGGGCTTTGTCATGGCCCACTCATGGGACAAAGCTCCTGGATCCTCCACATCCACTCCAACCTTCTGCCTCTTTGTTATCACCCTCTGTGCAGCACATTCCCTCATCTTCTCAACAAGCATCTCCTGTCCTAGCTGCAAGGTGCCTGCCCTTTCTCTTCTTACTGGACGACCACTTCTCCTCTACTTCCTGCTTCAGAATGCTCACCTGATCACCTGCTTCCAGGCACAATTTCATCATCTCTCCTAATTTCGTTCTCTACTGCTTATGTTCCTGATCCGTGTGACATTCCGTGAGTCTTCCAGCTGGACTCAGTACTTTCCTGTGCTGTGTGCTCCCTTCTTGACCCCCCACCTTCTGCTCAGCCCAACTCCATCGTCCCTGCTTCAGACACACTGCACCGACCCTGTACGCTCCGCCCCCAGCCTCTGCTCATGAGCCAGGCTGCGCTGTCCTCCCAGGTCCCTGCAGCGTCACTCCTGAAACTTTCACGTTTCCATCCAGACCCCTTGTTGCACACTCTACTAATGCAGCTCTTGGGGAGCCCCTGCCTCTGATTCTCCTAGCTTTTTCCTTTCACCTTCTCACCCTCTTGCCCCCACGTCTGCCAGCTGCACTCCTGATGCCATCATACTCAGTCTGGACCCGCACAAAGCCCTGGGCACTGCTGTCCACCCTGCTTCTGCCTTTCTCCTGCCATGCAGTCACCTCTCTCCCAGAGCCTCTCCTGCACTGTCCCATCCCATCCACCCCTTCCTTTGGTGTGTATGTCCCCTCTGGTACCCTCTGCTCACATACACACAATCTATCTTCCTTTCAGCCACTACTTCTGTCTCCCTCAGCCTTACTCCACAAAACTCCTCAGCTCCAGGAACACCATGCTTGCAATCCACTCCCTACCGACCGACAGTAATCCCAACCCGCCACCCCTCGTTCCAGGTGCCTTGTCGGCTACATTCACTTGCTCGCTGTCTGCTTGGTCCTGGGTCCTTTTCCTCCACGTCTCCCAGTCTCGACTCTGATGCCTGCATCTGCCCCGACTCGGGCTTATCTGCTTATGTTCCCCTCCCTCCCCCTTCCACCCAGTGATTCTCCCCCAAGGATGCGTGGCCCCCAAGGCAAGCCTATCAATGTCATCTTTTCATCTTTCTTGTATTTTTGTGGTTTTACTCTGGGTTTTTGCTTTGAGCAAAGTACTGCACCCCAGATGTTTTGATAGGCCTCCCCTGGGGTGCATGCCTGCAGCTCCCACTCAGGTGAAATCCACACCCTGACCGTATCCCTGGGCAGAATCATCACAGTGTGACCCCCTGAGATACACTCTCCCCTTGAGCGCCTCTGGCCCCAACAGTTGCTAATGATGCTTTTTCCTAAAAAAAAAAGAAACCCAAAACCCAGCATTTGCCCCACTCTGACTGCCCGGCACTGTCCTCTTGGAACCACCACATTCCCTTCAGTATTTACTCAGTGACACCCAACATCCCCCAAACTCCAGTCTGCATCAGAGCACTTTTCTTCTCAAGTCACCACACCCCAGACACTCCCCTGCCCCTCACCCTTTATGACTCTTAGGCATTATGACAGTACCTTTGGTGCAAACCTGTCGTTCTTCTTGGCGCTTGCCACTGTCCCTTTCCCTAGGTTACCCCTCCTCATTTCACACCCATGACACCGTCGCCCTTCAGAGCCCTGCCCCTGTCGTCCGCACGTTCCTCTGTGATTCCTGCTAAGCAGCCTTTCCCTTCCTCCTCTCCTGCAGCTGCTCTCTGTCCTCTCTGGGTGGATTCACTGGTCTTCCCAGTCCTCTCCTCAACCTGCAGTCATCACCCCAACACTGGACCTGCACTCAGTCCAGAAGCGCAGATAAAGATGCTTTTCTCAGTGTCTGGAGCTGGATCTCCCCCCCCCCACTTCACTCCCAACCTTGTTCCCCTACACAACCCTGTCCAACCTGACCTGCACCCCAACCTCAGTCCCATCCCCATCTACCTCCCACCCCCACCTCCCCCCGCG